ATGATGGGCACAGGCTTAAAGAACACACGAGCCAGCTCAAAGGAGCTGGCATTAGCAAACCCAGGAAAAACTTGAACATCAATGATAACAAAGAAATATGACTCACCAAAAAAATGGAGAAATCTGTAAGTCTGTATTGTAAAACAGCAACTAGTACATACAAGAATGATGGAGCTACAACATCACTCATTATCAGAGAAATGCAAATCAAAACCACAATGAGGTACCATTATACGCCAGTCAGGATGGCTGCTATCCAAAAGTCTACAAGCAATAAATGCTGGAGAGGGTGTGGAGAAAAGGGAACCCTCTTACACTGTTGGTGGGAATGCAAATTAGTACAGCCACTATGGAAAACAGTGTGGAGATTTCTTAAAAAGCTGGAAATAGAACTGCCATATGACCCAGCAATCCCACTTCTGGGCATACACACCGAGGAAACCAGATCTGAAAGAGACACGTGCACCCCAATGTTCATCGCAGCACTGTTTATAATAGCCAGGACATGGAAGCAACCTAGATGCCCATCAGCAGACGAATGGATGAGGAAGCTGTGGTACATATACACCATGGAATATTACTCAGCCATTAAAAAGAATTCATTTGAATCAGTTCTAATGAGATGGATGAAACTGGAGCCCATTATACAGAGCGAAGTAAGCCAGAAAGATAAAGACCATTACAGTATACTAACACATATATATGGACTTTAGAAAGATGGTAACGATAACCCTATATGCAAAACAGAAAAAGAGACTCAGATGTATAGAACAGACTTGTGGACTCTGGGAGAAGGCGAGGGTGGGATGTTTCAGGAGAACAGCATTGAAACATGTATATTATCTAGGGTGAAACGGATAACCAGCTCAGGTTGGGTACATGAGACAAGTGCTCGGGCCTGGTGCACTGGGAAGACCCAGAGGGATCGGGTGGAGAGGGAGGTGGGAGGGGGGACTGGGATGGGGAATACATGTAAATCCATGGCTAATTCATATCAATGTATAACAAAAACTACTGTAATGATGTAAAGTAATTAGCCTTCAACTAATAAAAATTTAAAAATAAAAAAAAAAAAAAAAAAAAAAAAAAAAAAAAAAAAAAAAAAAAAAAAAAAAAAGAATGATGGAGCTAAAAAAATTATCAACAGGATCTATAACTAGTGTGTTGTAAGGAAACACACACTGAAGTATTTGGTGGTAAATGGTCATGAGGGCCTCCAACTTAGTCTTGAAGAGTTTAAGAGTGTGTGTGTGTATGTGTGTGTGTGTGTGTGTGTATTAAAGCAAATGAGGCAAAATGTAATTACTCAGTGAGTCAGGACAGAGTACATGGGAGTTCCTTGTCTTATTTTTGTCTAACATTTTTATAACTTTAAAATTATATAAAAAATTAAAAATCACCCCCCAAAATGAGTTGCATTTAGTTCCCTTTGGCAAAATACTGTTCTGAAACCCACCATTATAAGGAAATGCCATATAACATATGTACTGGGTAAGGTGAAATGAATGACAACTTCTGGATATTTTACTATAAAAACTAGTCCAAAGTTTTAGCTTTTCAAATTATGAAACATTCAAGTGTTTTGGAAAATAAAACCATTTTCAATCTCATAAAGTGGGAATCAAAGAAAACTGGAAATGACTAGTCTGAAGTCTGGAGTTAAGCCCTAGAGCATGCATTATGAGGTTTCAACTTATAGGGCTGCTTTCCTTTGTCATTGCTCAAACCCATTCCTAAAGAGGAAGCAAGCATTCAGAACAAAGATCTAATTTTTTTCATTCAAAATTAAACAACAGGAAAAAGACAGAGAACAATTTAATCACGAAAATCTCAAATTTTTAAAAATTGAAATATAACTGATTTACAATATTGTTACTTTTAGATGCAGAGCAAAGTGACTCAGTTATATGTATTTTTTTCAGATTATTTTCCATTATAGGTTATTACAAGATATTGAAGATATTACAGGATATTGAATATTTTATAATCATACAGTTCCCTGCACCATACAGTAAATTCTTGTTGCTTCAAACTCTTTTAAGTAAGACGTTTTTCATTAGTTTTTGATACCTTCCTTAAATTTTATTAGCATGGTAAGCCAAACGTTTACTCATTTCATTGTAGATATTGACTAGGAAAAGGCTTCCCTGGTGGTTCAGTGGTAGAGAATCTGCCTGCCAAATGCAGGAGACACAGGTTTGATCCCTGGGTTGGGAAGATCCCCTGGAGAAGGAAATGGCAACCCACTCCAGTATTCTTGCCTGGGAAATCCCATGGACAGAGGAGCCTGNGAAAAGGCTTCCCTGGTGGTTCAGTGGTAGAGAATCTGCCTGCCAAATGCAGGAGACACAGGTTTGATCCCTGGGTTGGGAAGATCCCCTGGAGAAGGAAATGGCAACCCACTCCAGTATTCTTGCCTGGGAAATCCCATGGACAGAGGAGCCTGGCAGGCTACAGTTCACGGGGTCACAAAAAGAGTAAGACACAACTCAGCGACCAAACAACTGCCTAGGAACATGAGTGAATTACTCAGGTTCCTCTGTGTCTGGGAAGTAGGAAACAGCTCAACTTGTCAGATATTCAGTATATATCCCAGTACTCACTCATCAAAACACTCTAAACCTGAAACTCCTGTATTTGACACAATATGAAATTCTTCAGGAATCAATGTATCTGTTAGTTTCTTTGGCTTAAAAAAAAAAAAGAACAAGAATAAAAAACATTAGATGAGTCATATAAATCCTAATTCCTATCCCAAAAGGACACTATTTATTAAGAGATTTTGATTAGAGAAATAACAACACTTAGTAATATGGGTCATGGCAAGGAATAATAAACTTTTAGCAGAAAACAGGTTAAAAAATTAACCATGAATTAAAGAACAATCTTGGTTTCAGTATTAGATAACAAAGAAATCTATTGACTTGAAAATTCAAGAGCTATTTAAACTTTTCCTTAGCAACCTGCCAAAAATAAGAATTCTACAACTTTTTTTTTCCTGCTTTTTCTTAAATTGAAATATAGCTGATTTACGATGTTGTGTTACTTTTAAGTACTCTACAACTTTAAACTGCGGGTTTCTTAAAAAAAAAAAATCTAGGCTCCCATACTGTATTTTCAAGATTAAATAGCTGTAGTTTGGAAAACTGCTTAAGATACACTTGATCTTCTCCTAGCAAATTCCCTTTCCTAGAAAAAATTAGAAAGCGCCATGAAAAAATTAGAAAGCCTAAACAACGCAGGCCGTTAGAGTTTGACGTGGCTTTATATTCTGAGGATTTTTTTTTTAAGTAGAGAGAGGGAGAGGAAGTTGTCAAACAGTTTATTTACCTTATGAGGCACGATGACTCCATCACGTGACTGCAGTGCGCGGTCCGCTCGTGGGGGACAAACTGCACTCTCCCTCGTCTCTCCTTTAACATATTTCACATTGTACAGAAAAGAAATATCCCTAAGATTAAAAAAATTAAAATTTACAAAATAAGTTTTTTGTTTGGCTACTGGATAAAAGTGGATAATGCCCACATACATCCTTCTAGTGGGTAAAAAGGGACACAAAACTGGTCTCCTTACCTCATACTTACTTAGAAGGCTGAGGCATTAGGGTTTTCCCCCACATCCTTCCTTTTCTCCATCTCAAATTTCCTTCTCCTTTCCTTCAGCCTCAGGTTAAGATGTATTCTATTCCCCAGGATTACTTCCTCCACTTCAGCCCTTCATTTCACCTATGCTCACATCCTTGGGGATCTCATTCCATCAATTATAATTTCTGTGTATTTCCTTTTCTCCTGGAATATTCCCTCCAGCCTATGACTCAGGTCGTTTCCTCTTCTAAAAATCATCCTTTGACTGTGTATTGTCGTCAAGTTACCTTGATCTACCTCGTACTCTCTGCTCAACATTAGACTTCTTAAAATCTCCCTGCAAATCTGACTTCATTCCCATCTCTCTGCTGAAATCATTCTCCAGAAAGCTGAGGATGACGTTCTACAGTTAAGTCACCAGTTCTCATCTTCCACTGTTCTTCTGGGTATTTCCCAGGGTTGATCACCTCACATTCTAAAAACACTCTCCTCTCTCCTGCCCTCTGGATGACTGGACTCCCTTGGTTCTTTCATCCCACCCACTCCTTCCTGGACATCTCTGTGACCTCCTGCCTACCAAATGGAAATTTTCCACAACATCCTATCCGCATTCCTCTGTGCTTTCCCTACACTTCCTCCCTTGGCCATGCTATCAAATCTCACCTTATCATACTTGTTACGTCTAGATACAACTAAATACTTCTCCCCCATTCTAACTTTTCATCCTTCTGTAATCACTAGTTCTAACCACCACTCTACTCATCAAAAATCTCAGCATCCATAATTGATTCTGTCCCATCCTTTGTCCTCAATATCTGTCACTAACACAGATTAATTTTATAGTCACTCTCCTCTTGTCTCTTGCCAATGCCAAATCAGGGTAACCTTTGCCATGTAAGGTATGTATCCACAGGGTCCAAGGACTGGTGTGAGGACATTTCAGAGAGGCCACTATCCTGTCTTACCATACTACAGATCTCCACATTTCTAAAAATTCCTACTAAGATGTCATTTGACATTAAAAGTTTAATGTCAGATTATTGCTGCACTCAGAGATAATAATTTTTCAAATTACTTCAAATATCTCATAACTACTTATTAAATGTTAATAATTAAAGTCATGGTCCACTGGCATAAAATAAAGTACCAATACTTATGACACCAAAGCCCCAGAACACAGAAGTCCGTAGCCTAAATTTCTGCCACTTTTTCTAGCACTGAGCCATAACTGAATTAAAAACACCTTACATTTACACAGCAGTAAGAGCAGTGTTCAGTTTTACAAGTGCTCTTGCATTCATTATCTCATTTGTGCTTTCTATATCTCTGGGAGGTACACAAAATGGAGTGAGACTACTATTCCCTTTTTACAAATAAGAAATTGAACTCAGGCTTTGGGCGGAAGCGGCTGTGAAGCCTAACAGGAGAAACATGGGGGTGAAGCTTGAGGTGTTTCAGATGACCATCTACCTCACCTTCCCTGTGGCTATGTTCTGGATTGCCAATCAGGCCGAGTGGTTTGAGGACTATGTCATACAGCGCAAGAGGGAGCTGTGGCCCCCTGAGAAGGAGGACCAGCGCCGAGAGCTAGAAGAATTCAAAGAGAGGATACGGAAGCAGCGGGAGGAGAGACTCCTTCATGCTGCCCAGCAGAGCCCCTGAGGCCTCCACGAGCCGGAATTCCAGTCCTCCCCACAGAATAACACACACACGGTTCTTTGTTGCTCAAAAAAAAAAAAAAAAGAAAGAAAAAAAAAAAGAAATTGAACTCAGAAAGACTAAAAAAATCTACCCAAGTATAGTAACTGTAAACTCACTATTAAGTGGTATTTCAGCAAGGAGCATGGCAGGAGTAAGTGGTTTTTGGAGGGAGTAAACTGATAAATGAACCCATACACAGAAAATCAGATCACAATCTTCACAGGGAAAATGCTGACCCTTTGGATATTTTTAGGAATGATATAAAACAACAAATATAACTTGCTGATTTGATCACTTCCTTGATGGTGGTGCAGAGGTAGAGAATCTGCCTGCCAATGCAGGAGGCGCAAGAGACCTGGGTTCGATCCCTGGATCTGGAAGATCCCCTGGAGCAGGAAATGGCAACCCACTCCAGTATTCTTGCCTGGAAAAGTCCATGGACAGAGGAGCCTAGTGCACTACAGTCCATGGGGTGCTAAGAGTCAGACATAACTGAGCAACTGAGCACACACACGTGTAAAGTTTAAGGGTTTGCTCTGAGGGAAACCAGGGTCTAAGAACTTATTTTTCAAGTTTTTGCATGTCATGAAACTATGTTACCTAGCTCTTCTCAGAAGTGCAAATAAAAGAGGCCCTAAGACATTCTGCCTGATACTGTCCCTCCCACTAGAGTACAACAGGAATAGGAGAAGAAGGCGACAAGCACACAAAGAGACACCAAAGCAAATTTAAATGAGTGATTGTTTCCAGTTCTGCTCCTTCCAAGGAAATCATACAAAATGAGATAATGACTCCGTTCATCTGCATCTACCCCACTACCTTCCTTCTTTACCTTCCAGCTCCCGTTAGGGAAACTGGATGGTCAATCAGGTATTTGAACTTATTTCTTCGGATAGGGTTATGCCAGACGTGGTCAACAGGGCGAGGAAGAGTACCCTGGAAGAAAAAAAAAAACCATGAATATACAGCAGAGGGCGCTCTAGTCAAATGAAATCTATTCTTAATCATTTTTGAGTACATTAAAGGCATTTGGACACTATTCAGAAAAAGTGTAATTCTTATTTGATAACAAGAAGAAAGACTGAAACTAGAACGACTTAATAGTGAAAGAAAAATATCAAGACTCCGGGCTTCCCTGATGGCACAGTAGTTAAGAACCTGCCTTGCAATGCAGGGCACAAGGACTTCTTCCCAGGCTGGGGAGGATCCCACAAGCCTCGGAGCAACCAAGTCCAGGCTCCACAGCTACTGAGTCCAGAGCTCGAGAGTCCAGGAACCACAACTAACGAGCCCACATCAGCAACGAGTGAAGCCCGGGCACCCTCGAGCCAGCGCTCGGCCATAACCGAGGGGCCACCGCAATGAGAAGCCTGTGTGCTCCAAGTAGAGAGTAGGCCCCACTCTCTGCAACTAGAGAAAGCCCACCTACAGCACCCAAGACCGAGTCAGCCAAATAAATAAACAACTTTTTTTTTAAAAAAGAAAAACATCAAGACTAAGAGTAGTAATGATCATTTAGGTAAATCACATAGAAACAGGTTAATGGATATATACTCAAGTATTTCCTTGAAAGTATTCATGCAAAATAATTTAGCTTTCAATCTAGGAAATTAATTTTAAAATATCCTTAAGACAATCTGGAATATAAAACACATTAAATAAATACTTAATGAACTGGATGTCAAGATAAATGTTCCCAAGTACTTTATATACACACATACACACACACACACATACATACACACCTTTGGAGTTTTAATTTTCTTAGGAGGCAGTAAGTTTTCAGGACAAGGACCAGCATTGGCTGCATTGGTCAGAGAAAGCAGAACTTCCTCAGGGATGAACTCATTTTGAAGGGAAGTAGGAAGGGGTTTTGACCAATCCACCAAAATTTTTTTCTCCTTTAGTTCAGGAAGTCCTAAGAAAATAATGGGAAAGAAAAGCTTACTGTAGTTTTTTTTTTTTTTTTTAGTTAGTTAGAGATTCCCAGGCTGTCTCATCAATCCTATATATATGTTGCTGACAGAGAGAACCACTGCTTCTGGTTGCCAAGAATAGCAACAATATTTAAAACACTGAATTATCTAGTCAAGAAAAAAAAACAACTCATACTGTCTGCCCTCCTCATGTTACTGAAATCACAAATCCGTGTGCCCTAAGCACAGTGAGGCCTATCAATATTCGATGTGAATGTCTGAAACAGATTCACCTGAGGAGTGGGTGGCTCATCCCCTAAGAACCTCAAAGTTACGGAAAGCTTTCAGCAAGTCCTTTTAAAAGCAAAAGGTGAGGGATGGGCCTGGTTAGTTGTTGCAGACTTCTCAGTGTCAGATTCTTTGTTCTTGAGGTTCGGTCGTGGTCAGGTAATGATGTTCCTGTAAGTCTCTACCAGATGAATGGTATTTTCTGTCCTGACAAGAAAGAGCAAGGTTCCAAGATACAACTTTCACCCTCCAAGGTCCTAGTCCCGGCTAAGAGGAGACAGAGCTCAGTTGGCAGCTCCCTCAGGCCCAGGTTCCCACAGCCTGCCCAGCTGTCATGACTGAGGGAGCCGGGCATCCAACCCAACCGGCCTTCCGTCTCCTCAGGCCGCCCCAATCGGGGAGACCAGGTCTCCCAGATTGCGACCCAGGCAGACAGCCATTGCTCTTAGGTCGCAGAGACAGGGATGAGGGAGAATTTCACTGCTGCCTCAAGGCCTGGACCAAGGCTCGTGGAGGGCCTTAGTGAGGGCTCTGGAGCACCACAGGATGTAGTCTCCAGGCTGTTCCCCAGGCCCGCTAGCTCACCCGCTGGCCCAAAACTGGGCAAGCTGGAGGGCCTCCAGGAGAAGACCTGTATCTGTCTCTTACCTCACTCTCCACCTGATGACCTTGACTGAATCACTCCCCCAATGATGCCTCATTGACAGTTATCAGTGGGCCACTGCGGCGCTGACCAGTGACTGAGAACAGCTGACAATCCTTCATTAACAGCCGGTTGCTTGCAAGCAGGGTGCTCTAAGGCACCAAGCAATGGCTGAGGCAGGCCTGTTGCCTAGTAACAGGGCGCAGAGTCACGAGGCACGGTAATGGCTGGCTGCTAAGGGCGGTGCTCATTCTGCTCTGTTACACTCACATCAGACACGAGTTCAAAAACTCATGTACAGCGAGAAACCTCCATTACTCCAAATTCAAAACTGAAAACAACTCAGTTAACTTCATCAGTTAACCAAGGTAGCATGAAGATGATGGGAATGTCTATTTCCCCTTTGATGTGAAAATCACAAAAGAAATCTCTTCTCTTCAAAACTGTCGAATTACTTAGTAATTTTTTCTATCTAAGTTCAAAGGTGAAAATTCAATTGGAACATTTACAGAGTGGAAGGGATTCGAGTTGGATTTAACAGTAGAATTGCGATTGTTAGAAATGAAAAGAGTAGAATCAGTTCAGTGCAGTCGCCCAGTCATGTCCAACTCTTTGCAAGCCCATGAACTGCAGCACGCCAGGCTTCTCTGTCCATCACCCACTCCCAGAGCTTGCTCAAAAACAAACAGAGTAGAATAATCTGAGCAAATTAGTAAGGTAACACTCAGTACAAAGAATGTTCTGAACAGTTCAATGAAGGCAGATGAGTTATAAAGAGAAGGTGAACACCTAATATACGAAAAGTCTCCTATGTACTTAGTCAAGGAGGGCTGGACTGTCATTCTTCTTAAAGAACTCTTCACTAATCTGTGCTTCTCACATAGCATGGTTTATTTTAATTTTTGTAAGGATGTATCATGCTTTGATGACCATCAAAACACCTGAAGTTCACATTACCAAATCTCTATCTCTTGAGAGTTTGGGATGGAGTCAGAATATCAGAAGGAAAAAAAAAAAGGTAAGTGGATTTTAGCAGAGTCTCTCCTAAAAGCAAGATGTAGGTGAGCTGGAGGAGCCTTTAACATAAGGAGGGGAGAAATGAGTCTGGCAGATTCTTATTCTAGAACAGATCTGCACATCTATATATGAACAAAAATCTTATATAAGTACCTTCATTCAAAGTAATTACTAAAACCTGATACAAACTAGTTCCTTAACAAAAACCCCCCAAAAGACCCCCAAAAGTACTGTTTCAAACCACCACTGGTACTTAAAATAGGTTGAATTTAGAACAATATAAAACTCATCAGCATTTGAAAAAAACAACAACAATCCTTATGTTGAATAGGACTGCAAAATATTATAAAAGGCAAGGCTTTTGATTTTATTTAAACAAGTATATTGGTAAAACAAAACTAAAGTATCTGAAATCTCAGATTAAGGAAAAAAGTGAATGGCTGTGATTTCTGATTATGGTCATGATTACTTATGCCTTGAAGAACTTTACCTGTCTCTTCCTTGGATGCAGAGATTTTCAAGTTTTTGCCCTCAGGTGTTGACGTGGAGGGTGTTTTCGGGAATGACATTATAAGCAATGCCTAGCACTCTCTAATCAGTTGAAATACCCCTCCGGAAAGCTAATCTACAAACATATCAGCGGCATACAGTACTGGGATTTGGCAGGGCTGCAACACAGACCTGCAGGGAAAAAAGAGAGACACAGAAGGGAAGGGAGGGAGAGATACCCGTTTAGTGTTCACGTTAAATTTGGAGTTTACAATTCATCTACCTTGGGTTTTCTTTGGGGAGACTTCTGGGGTCTCCCAAGATATCTGATGCAAATAAAACACCTGGGCCCAGACCGGGAAGGACACGCTGGACCCACCCCTCCGACCACCGGCACAACCTAAGGGCGGCCCTGGCTCGAGGCGAGTCGGCTGGATCCCGGCTTCCCCACAGGCCGCCCTCGCGCTCGCAGCTTCACCGACTCGAGGTCGGGCAGAGCTCGACCTCGTTTCTGCCGTCAGAAGTGACAGGAAACGGACACTTGCAACCCGTACCCGTAAATTGTCTTTCCCGCCAGACATCTTGTCGCCACGCCTTTCCCCGGACGCCTTCGTGTCGTCATGGAAACCCAGGACCTTGCGCCTCGGCAACCCTTAAAGGGGCTGCCTTCGGCGGTGCCGGCGGACGAC